GTGTAATACAAAATCTCATGAGGGGAACCAGCAGTTAGCGTAATGGCTATGTTGCTGGACTCCCACGTAGTCGACCGCGGTTCGTGTCCCGGACCCGGTGGCTTAAAACTCACGCCGGGCGCGTGTGCGTGCGTGCCCAAGATCCCGAGAGGAGAATGGAGGAGAAGGGATTGTGGTGTGACCATCCCCCCTGGGGGGTGATTTCTCGCTTTCTGTCTCTATGTCTCTCTCTGTCTGTCTGGCGAGCGCACGCGCCCTACAGTGAAAAAATCTCTCCAAAAAAAAAAAATCTCATGAGGTCATTACAGATTCACATGCTGTTGTAAGACATAGTGTAAATGTATCTCATGCCTCCCAGTTAAAAAGTATAGAAGATTCTAGTACAGTATCACAACTGGAAAATTGACATGGATCCAATCCAGGGATTTTTATGTCGGCCTTCTCCGTGTTGCTTCTATGAGTGAGTGTGTGTATATTTCATTCTATCCAATTTTGTCATGTGTGTGGGTTCTTGTATCTACCTCCCCCCCAGTTAAGATAATACCATGTGGATTCCTCATGACCCAGCACCGTTTGTTGAAAAGGCTCTCCCTCCATTGAATTGCTTTTGCACCTTTGTCAAAAATCAGTTGACTGTATTCGTGAGGGTCTGTTTTAGGTCCTCTGTTCTATTGATCTGTGTGCCTTTTCCTCCACTACTGTTAGCGTGCCTGAATTACTGAAGCTTGAACAACAAGTAAAATGAGTCTTCCTGTAGTATTTTTCTTTATCAAGATTAGCTTGATCCTGTGCCTTTTAGTATACATTTCAGAATAGGATTTTCTTTTCTTTTTTAAGAATTATTTTATTTTAACTTTATTTATTTTAGTTTGACCAGAGAGGAACAGAGTGAGAGAGAAAGAAAGAGAGAGAAAGCAAGCCGCCAGGTCCACATTTGGCCATGTGTGAGTCCAGCACCCTCAACCACCATGCTACCTGCTGGTCCCAGGATTTTCTTTTCTTTTATTCTTTTTGTTGGAAAAGTTTTTGCTATAGGGCACGTGTGCTCGCCAGAAAGACAGAGTGACAGAAAGCGAGAAATCACCCCATCCCCAGAGCGGATGACGACACCACAATCCCTTCTCCTTCATTCTCCTCTCAGGATTCTGGGCACGCACACACACATGCCTGGCCTGAGTTTAACCCACCGGGTCTGGGACTCAAACCATGGTCAACTACATGGAAGCCCAGTAATGGGGCCATTATGTCATCTGCTAGTTTCTTAAGTATTTATTGATTTTTCCCCAGGATTTTCTATATTTTCAGTGTGTCTAGAAAAAACTTTGTTGGAATGTTGATAGAAATAGTATTAAAACTGGAGATCATTGTAAGGAAAACTGACATCTTTTATGTTGCATCTTCAAATCCACAAACACAGTACACTGAATCAATGTGTTTTATGAAGTTTATAACTAAGTATTTCATTTTCTTTAGTGTTATTGTAAGTGCTCTAAAAATGTTTTGGTTTTAATTTGAGTTTCCACAAGTTCATTGCTACTATATAAACAATTAATTTTTGCATGTTTATCTTATATTCTGAGGTTTATCATCTCACTTGTTAGTTCTAGGGATTTTCTACACGGCAGTCATGTATCTGCCTTGGCTTTAGTCTCCAGTAGTTAGACTTTGATATGTCTGAGAGTGGTTTTCTCAGGGTTTCTCTTATTGGCATTCATGGACATTATTGATTATGTAGATTTGTCTTTTAACTTAATTGAGGAAGCCCTTTTGGACCTTACTTATTCAATGTATCTTTTATTTATTTATTTTTTTAAGAGAGATTTTTGCTATAGGGCATGTATATTCGCTGGAGAGACAGAGAGGAAGAAAGCAAGAAATCACCTCCAGGGTGGCGGTAGCCACACCACAGTCCCTTCTCCATTGTTCTCTCAGGACTTCGGGTAGGCACATGCACACACACCAGCGTGAGTTTTAAGCCGCCAGGTCCAGCTCTCGAACTGTGGTCAACTACGTGGGAGTCCGGTGACGTAACCATTACACCACCTGCTGGTCATTATTCAGTGAATCTTATATGTCCTACACCTTTCTCCTCTTCTAGGCCTTTAATGACGCCCATCTTAGCTCTTTCCTACTGTACCACAGTCGCCGAGCGTTCACCAGCTGTTCGTTCGATCTTTTCTCGGTGTGGTTCAGGTCGGACAGTCTTTATTGTTCAGTCTTCAAGCTCACTGTCTCATCTGTTATTTCCATTCTGCTGTTAACTATATTCAGGGAATTTTAAAAATGTTTGGTTATTGTATTTTTCAGTTCCCAAATTCCATTTTTACACCTCTGATTTCCCTCTAAGACTTTCTCACTGTCTGTTCATTTTAAGAAGGTTTGAACTGATGTCTTGGAGCATTTTAAAAGTCTGTGTGAGACAAACTGTGTTACCCAGGTGTTCACGTTTATTAAGTACCTTTTCCCATATGAGTTGAAATTTTTCTGATTCTTTATAGGGTGAGTAATTTTAGACCATAATACTACGTTATAAGTCCTATGAGTCTTACATACATTCTAGGAGTATTCCTTTGTGTGTGTCTTTTAGCAGACAACTGACCCAGTTGGGTTCAGACTTCAAATTCCATCCATTCTTCCGTGGGCTGTCATTTCAATCCAGTTTTCAAAGTTTTTGCAGTGCTATTTGGATCAGTTCTCCTGAATGCCAACCAGGGTCCAGTTTGGGACTTGAGTGGTCATCTATCCCATGGTTAAGTTCTCAGAGTCTGTTTGTGTGCCGTTTAGTGTCAAACCATGCACACGCGCAGCCCAGGATCCGCCCGGAAATGCATAAACCACTGTATGGGGCTTTCCTGAGCTCCTTTCTTTCCATGACTCTCTCTCTGATTTCTCAGGGCTTCTCTTCAAGTTGTCCGACCAGAAAACTTGGTTTACCCTGCTCTGCTGCACACTCAAACCAGTACTTCGCCCACATCTCCAGCCATTCA